CTGATATTTTACATAATGTATATTGTTTTGTATGTCCTAATTATTGTACATTAATAATTTAAAAAGTAAAACAAAAGTGCTAATGGATTTACAGCCATAAGACAAAACAGTAGTAATACTGAATTAAACTCATTTTTAAGAAAACCCTGGCTTAGAAGATAAATATAAATATGCAAACCTTGATAATTTACATCTGGAGTGTTTTATTGCTGGTAACACTGTTATGTTTAAATTAATTTAGCAAGTTGTGCTTCTTTCTTTTTGTATGAGTAGGCACCAACTCTCTCCTTGCACTAAAAGTTATTAGGGGGGATTTACAAATATTCCAAGAAAGAGATAAAATAATATAAAGTTAGACAAAGAGTAGTAGATTTTCTGAGCCTGTTTGGCAAGAGGTAGATAAGAATAAGGCAAACATAGTAACGGGGTTCGTGAGTAATACATGGAAACAAAATTTACAGGGCTGTGATCAGGAAAAGAGAAAAAAGAGTCAGTATATCTTGTGCCCTAACTGTATGGGAGAAGAAAATAGTTAGGAAAATATATACTGGATTTTAGAAGGAAAATAAATCTTCATTTTGTTGCCTCTATGCTTTAGCACTGAGCAGAGAACTTTTTAGATTACCAACTGTAAGCTTTGACCTCAATATGTAGGGTTAATTTGTAATATCTTTGGTTCCACTTTTGCTAACTCTTTAAGCCAGCTGTGAGACACACTGGTTTTCCTCTCCTTGTGGCATACAGCCTAGTTTCCTTTCTCTCATTCTCTCACTCTTTGGCATAAAAGGAGAAGCAGTGAGAGGACAAGTCTGCCAGAGTAGGAGGCAAGGAACCAAACTGAATGCCTGCAAGACTGTAGACAAGTTCCTCGAGCTGCAGGATGAAGAATTTGAGCCTGCTCCATCTCCCTTATTATTTGAAAAAACAAAATGCCATTTGCTACTTTCAATGTTATCAAAAATTAGGAATCTACAGGGCTGGCAGCAAAGTAGATAGAAGAGTGTGTCTGAATACATCAGTATTTGTATTTTTTTTTAATATATTTTAATTAGGTACCTTGGACCTGCAGGCATACAGCACTGCAATTTCATCTACATTGCATTATATCCTCACAAATTATTCTGTTGATCAAATGAAGTCAACAAGAGTACAATAGTTAAGGATCACAGAAACCAAAAAGCCAGTGAGGAATGTCTGTGAGGCCCTTCACAGGCAGTTTCTGGTAATGAGAGGCTACTAGATTCTTGGGCTGTGAAGAAAAGCTAGCAGAGTGTAAAACAGACTCAGAAAAATTCAGAAGATTGTATTTGAAGTCTGGCTTCTCTTTGCTACTCACTAGCTATATGACCTTGGGTACACAGGCACTGCATTTCAGATATTATGTTTACCTGTATAATGGAGATGATGATAAAACCTTTGCCTGCCTTCCATATGGTTTGTTGTGAGATGCAAATAAACACATGAGAAACTATAAGTTAGAATGTGCTGTCTGCTGAGTGTTATGACTTTCTAGACATAAGTGTGTATTACTAGCTGCCAAAAAATGTTCATGAAATCCATAGATTATTTAATAAGACTTAGCATACACAATGATTTCTACCTGTTCACCCATTTAATTAAGTAACACAAGTAAAGTTCTACTAGCAAACTCAATATGAGTTTTACCTTTGTCTTTTTTATAGATTTGCTAATTAGCTGAGAAATTGTAGGAGACAAGGGTGAGAATAGGAAAAACTGAAAAGTTAGGAAGTTAATGGACAGGACCTAACACAATAATTAGCCCATAAAAAAAAAACAGAGGTATTGCTAGAAATTTATAAGACCGTCATCAATATATTCATTATGTCTTGATACCTTTTAATCATAAGGCAGAAGTATGAAGAACACATATCATGATGTTTTCTTCCAATTAGTAGATTTCTTATGAAATGGGGCAATGTATGATATAAAAATAATGGTGTTTTTAGGGCCTTTTAATTGTTATGTTTCCAGAAAAATAGAATTGTTATTGTGCTAAGGAATGTTATTGTGCTGATACTATCCTGATTCCCCATTTGCATTTATTGCTAAGGAAAGTAAGTTCAGAGTGGCTGTGTCTTGTCACAACCTCTAAGTTTGGCACTATCAAATATTGTAATTGACTCACCCAGGTAAAGAAAAAAATAATTCTCAGAAAAATATTTACTTTGTAGGTCAAAATTTCCCTTCAGACCACACAATGTGGGAAACAGACCACAGACCCCTGGTCTGATTGCCTTTGGAAATATACCAAAAACACCCAAAGTCAAGAGAACCCAGCTTTCTAAGGTACAACAAAAAGACATAGCATAGACAATCCTATAAAGAAGAGAATTCTAAACAATGGCATAATATAAATCTGAATAAAATAAGGGATTGGAGTGCAAAAAACATGAGGTTTTTTCCCAAGCTCCTGTAGTCTGAAAAAAGACATACTTCTAAGAAAATGTGTTTGTGTGTTAAATGGGTGTTTGTGTTTGTGTTCACAAGCCTGAAATCAACAAATGTGGGAAAGCAATAGTTGTAGGCCATAAGAAAAAAATAGACAGTTTTTATTAAAAAGCGATGCTGGAAATATATTTAATTGATTAGATTTGAACTACATTTTGTGGGTGAGTATGACCTCTGGTGTTAATCTAGGGAAATTCTCTCACTTATATGCCTTAATGGAACAAAAGAAGCAAATTTAATTTTCTGAAAGCTTATCACTGGAAATCATAGGCCTTGATTTGGGTCTGGTTTTCCCCAATCTTTCTTCATTTCCTTCCTCTTTCCTTCTCTCTGAACTCACAAGTATAAATAAGTACAATGTGCAAAGCACTATTCAAGTGGAAGAACATTGCCTTTGTTGCTTCATTTAACTTTACATGTTACATGTATCGCTACAATTCTGTATAGGAAAAAAAAAAGAAAAAATGTTATACACATTTAAAATGTCTACATATAAACTTAAAATTTGTCGACTTTATTAAAAAATGATGAAAATAAGAACTTAAATGTGCCTGTTATGACCTAATAATGTAATTGTGTTAAACCAATGAAGTTATGATGATTCAGACTAAAAATGAAACACAAAATTATCTTGTGTTTTTTTATCATCATGCTAATAGAGGTTTATCACACTCTCAATATACAGACATTTATTAGCAAGATGGCTTTTTGAGTGTGTGTAATCAGTTGATTTCTTAACAGAAAGGTAATGATTGATTTGCTTTCTGTCCAATCACAGTGAGTTTTACACTATTAAATTATTTTATGAGCTTTTTCAAAATAGTGGCTAGCTGGAGGTAGCATTAGTCTGAGTTTTGGTGTTCTCATAGTCCCTCATGTTGTGGATCAAATTTCCATTTTCTTCTGAATTTTGTGCATTCTATCCTCCTGTGTACCCCTTTGGAGAGAAGTGATAACTCCATGCAGCATTACAATAAATCTCAGCAGGCACATTTTATTTCTACATGATTAATGGCACTGCAACTAATCCCATATTAGGGCATAGACATATACATGGCAAAGGATACACTTTTGCCTATTATTTTGTTTTGCAGCCTCTGTTGAAGTCCTGAATTTGCTATTTGACAACGTCAGTTTGACACAAGGGATGCAGCCATTATTTTTCTTTTGACAGTTCAGTAACTGCAGAACCTTATATCTAATTTAATGCTGGCAACGACTGTTGTGGTATTTCAGGGGTGGAGGCTATGTAATCTTTATCTAAATTTATGAATGGCTAATAAAAATATTTATTTACCATAATTTTCCTTTGAAGTATTTAGACTTGTAAGGATGAATCAAACATTTTCACTCAGTTGCTACCTACAGCAACTGGAAGGCTATATAATTTATTGCAAAGGGTACTAATACATGTTTGATGGATTTTGTGCATGAGTTGAATTTCTTTTTCAGACAAGAAGGTTAATAACTTTTCATAAGGAAGCTTTCATTTTAATTCAATTAGTTCTTAGGATTGTTTTTAACAGTCATGCTCTCCATACAATTCATGTAATATGTACTCAGCTGCCCCAAGATTCAATTAGCTTCGTGATTCTAAACAAGTTTTATTTAATTACCATCTTGAAAATACAAAACAAAAACCATATTAGATTATAAAAACAAAATGCTGTCTCTGAATGTTTGCCACTGCCACTAAATTATATTCTTGACCAAGACCATTGAGAAATTCAAGTCTGGACAGTATTCATTATCTCAAGTCCAGGACGATGGGATAAAGCAGCTCTACGCCCCACAACCCAGTTTTTCTGCTGAATGTTTATTTGCACGTAGAAAAAATTAAAATTGTTTAACGTGTCCAAAGAATATCCTAAAATGAATTATTCACTCTGACATTGAAAGCACACACAGGCACGCACACTCTTACAAGCAGATACCAGGTAAGCAACTTTAGGGCAGCTGCCGAGTAGAGTAGCAAGAAATTGGATCCAGCTGAGAATTCCAATTACCTAATGACCTAATGAGGGTGATCCGCTTTCACTCGAATTTCTAGGTCTAATTCGTTATTAGTCTCTATCATAAAAATCAAGGTTTAAAATAATTAAAATGGAAACAAATATTCAGCGGGCCCATTTCTTTCATCTTTAGGGGGAGACAGGAATTTGAATTCACAAAGAAATGCAAATGTAGAGGTTTAAGATGGAGCAGAAACAAAGAACCTTCAAAAGGATCACCTAGCACATTGTCTTGGTACATCTCTTAGAAGAACACAGCACGGAGAATTTGGGAGACATCAAATGCCATTTTTATTAGTTTATTAGAGAATAAATAAATAAATAATGATACCGAACTCCAACATAACGCCAGCACTGTCCATGGGCAGCGATTATTGAGCCCAGGCTATCTTTCTTAATAAGTTCCCTGCCAGCCCGCGCCAGGCCCCCTCTCCCACCCGTTGCTGCAGTTAGGACTTGGCAAAGATGCTCGATATTTGCGCATTTGTGACGGGTCTTGGCTTTCTGTCTGCGCTGCAGGTGAGGAGGAAGAAGAGGAGCAGAAGAGGAGCCGGAGGCCGGCGTTGGCTGAGCACCCCCAACACCTTTGAGCGAACCACCTGCCTCTCCACCTCCAGGGAAGCCCTCGGACCTCTGGATTCGGGCTGCCGGAGGGCCTGAGCGCCTAGAGCCCAGGACCCGGCGGCCGGGGGCGCTAGCCCCTCATGTTCCGGAGAAGGCGCAAATGTGAGCTGGCGTTAGCGGGGAAAGCCCTCCGCCCCCGCCAGGGGGACCCGGGAAGCCCGCGCCGGCTCCGAGGGCGGACTGCGGGGATCCCCTCCTCCGGCCCCGCCCCCACCCTCCCCCGGCCCGGGTGCCGAGGCGGTTAACCCTACGCGCGCCGCAGCGCACTTGGGCAAGAGCGCCGCGCACCCGATCCAGATTCCTAAGCCAGGCGCGGGGCAAGATCCGGGCGCTGGATCGGCTATGATCCCGCAGCGGCCCAGGCAGGGCTCAGGCCCGGGCATTCTCGCCACACGTTGCTGCACTGGCGAAGCTAGTTGCCAAACTTTTTCTCCCCAGAGCCAGTGCCCCCGCAGTTACTTGGCGGGTTGCCGGCAGCCCACTCTCGGCTGGACAACCTGGGAAAAGCGGGCGTGGGGCGAGGGGGCTGCTCTCTTGCAGCCTTGCGAGGCGTGCAGGCGAAGTGGTCCGCTTTCCGCACGGTCCCTGCGCCTGCCCCCTGACCGGGGTGGCCCGACGTGCTGCAGTGGCTGGCGCAGGTGATCCGGGCAGCGCGTTCAGCACTAGTCAGGGGGGCAGCGGCACCGGAGGGAGGGCGCCTTTCTTTTTTCTCCTCCCCCTGCAGCCCAGCTGCACTGCGTGGGGGCTCTCCGTCTCCAGCAGGGCTGAGGGGAGCATGCAATCAGCAGGTGGAATCCCTGTCCTGGAGCGCGCTGGCTCTGGACTGCGTCCCCCAGGGTATCTGTCCTACAGACTCCCCTCCCCATCTTTCTCTGCCACACACGCTTCCCTAAGCCGCGCGCGCCGCAAACTCAGTCTCGGTCCCCGCAGGTGATGTCATGCCCATTGTTTTGGTGCGCCCAACCAATCGGACTCGCCGCCTGGATTCTACCGGAGCCGGCATGGGCCCTTCCTCGCACCAGCAGCAGGAGTCCCCGCTCCCGACCATAACGCATTGCGCAGGGTGCACCACCGCTTGGTCTCCCTGCAGCTTTAACAGCCCTGACATGGAAACCCCATTGCAGTTCCAGCGCGGCTTCTTCCCAGAGCAGCAGCCGCCGCCGCCGCGCTCCTCACACCTGCATTGCCAGCAGCAGCAACAGAGCCAGGACAAGCCGTGCCCGCCCTTCGCGCCCCTCCCGCACCCTCACCACCTCGCGCACCAGCAGCCGGCCAGCGGCGGCAGCAGCCCATGCCTCCGGTGCAACAGCTGCGCCTCCTCCGGTGCCCCGGCGGCGGGGGCGGGGGATAACCTGTCCCTGCTGCTCCGCACCTCCTCGCCCGGCGGCGCCTTCCGGACCCGCACCTCCTCGCCGCTGTCGGGCTCGTCGTGTTGCTGCTGCTGCTGCTCGTCGCGCCGGGGCAGCCAGCTCAATGTGAGCGAGCTGACGCCGTCCAGCCATGCCAGTGCGCTCCGGCAGCAGTACGCGCAGCAGCCCGCGTCCACCTCCCAGTACCACCAGTGCCACAGCCTGCAGCCCGCCGCCAGCCCTACGGGCAGCCTCGGCAGCCTGGGCTCCGGGCCCCCGCTCTCGCACCACCACCACCACCCGCACCCGGCGCACCACCAGCACCACCAGCCCCAGGCGCGCCGCGAGAGCAACCCCTTCACCGAAATAGCCATGAGCAGCTGCAGGTACAACGGGGGCGTCATGCGGCCGCTCAGCAACTTGAGCGCGTCCCGCCGGAACCTGCACGAGATGGACTCAGAGGCGCAGCCCCTGCAGCCCCCCGCGTCCGTCGGAGGAGGTGGCGGCGCGTCCTCCCCGTCTGCAGCCGCCGCCGCTTCGTCCTCAGCTCCCGAGATCGTGGTGTCGAAGCCCGAGCACAACAATTCCAACAACCTGGCGCTCTATGGAACCGGCGGCGGAGGCAGCACTGGAGGAGGCGGCGGCGGTGGCGGGAGCGGGCACGGCAGCAGCAGTGGCACCAAGTCCAGCAAAAAGAAAAACCAGAACATCGGCTATAAGCTGGGCCACCGGCGCGCCCTGTTCGAAAAGCGCAAGCGGCTCAGCGACTACGCGCTCATCTTCGGCATGTTCGGCATCGTGGTTATGGTCATCGAGACCGAGCTGTCATGGGGCGCTTACGACAAGGTACGGGCTTGAACCCCTGCCTATGCTACCAGAGTCGGGCACTGGGTGGTTGGGATGGGCACTGGCAGGGACCCTTTGCCTGCGGGGTCTCCAGCCTCCCCGGGACGATCAAGGGAGCCCGCCAGGACAGCGGGCGCGTCTAGGACGCGCATCCCTAGTCCGCTAAACAACTCGGAGATGAGCCCTTTCCGCGTGTAGCCAAAGTTCTCGAGGCAGCAAGAGTGCCCAGCGCGTTCGGGCACCTTAAGTAAGTGGTTCTGGGAGTCGGTGGGGAAACCATCTGTATTCCTCCCTTGGTGAATTGTGTTTAGGAGGCCCCTTTCAACCCTCTCTCTTGAACTCAGGAGTAACTTGCTCTCTGGTTTTGCTAGCTTGGAGCAGCGGCGCTTCGGTCCGTTGTGGCGTGGACCTGACAAAGCCCAACCACCCATCTTCCCAGTCTTTCCAAGTCTGCTCTCTCTCTTGGTTTTGAGGCCGAGTGATCTGATAGATCACAGAGCCAAGATGGGTGCACCCCTCTCCCTGCATCTTCCTCCTGTGAGTTCAGGTCCACCTGTGGGGGACTGACTGACCCTGGGGGCTTGGAAGGCGGGTAAAAGTGCTTCTTTCTTAAAAATGCTTCTGTCTGACTGTGTTGCAGGCGTCGCTGTATTCCTTAGCTCTGAAATGCCTTATCAGTCTCTCCACGATCATCCTGCTCGGTCTGATCATCGTGTACCACGCCAGGGAAATACAGGTAACTTAGGTCCTGCTGTTTATGAATGACCCAAAGCCCTACAGTCAGCTTAGAGAAACGCAAGGCAGCAGAGGCTTCTTCCAAGCCGTCATGTCCTTGCTTGAGGTTACAGAAGACACATGCTGTATTGTTGTCTTAGCACCTGATCTGTTCTTTCAGGAAGTGGAAAACGAAAGGCAAAGTAGCATATAAACATGCAGCATTTTCTGAGATGTATTTGTTGGACTCTTAAGATTTTTACCTCTCTTCAATAGGTGGATCCTCTTCTCCACTCAGTCACATTTTGTTTTCCTTAAAGCTAGTTATGCTCTAGTTTTAATCTAGAATGAACTTGAACTCTTTTTTGAGACGCCTTAGTGGGTGCATCATTAGGTGATTGTGTCTGTATCATCTTCTATAATTTAGCATAGAGAAGAAAATATGGTGATGGGTTGCTGGCTACTTTTTATAAATGAGATATGGGAAAAGATCTAACCCTTTCCTAAATCCCCCACCATTAAAAAAAATCTCTGTGAGTTTAGAATGCAAATTCTCTATATCCAATCATTAAGTATTTTTTAATGTAATTTAAGAGTTAAAGCCACTGTCCTTGTGAGCTGGTTTTTGTTTGTTTTTAGGAAAATATTTCTTTTGTTTAAATGCAGCCAGGAGCTCTATATTTGGCTGTTAGTAACCATATCAGAATAATCTATAAAATTTATGTGTCATCCATTGGTTGTTAGCCTACAGTCAAAGGAGTTTTAAGGCTTTTAAATTAAAATAAGTATAGAGTTTTCAAAAATTAGATTTGGATTTTTTTTTTAGCTTAGAATTTCACTATTTGGGAGGTGCAGTGGCTCAGGTTTGTAGTCCTGGTGCACAAGAATTTGCACTATGTATTTTCTGATTATTTTTTTCTTTTTTGAGCAATTGTTAGACATTTGAGACCCTTAATTTGGGTCATTTCCCTTTAGACTGCCTCAGATTTAAGCTGCCTTTCAATTTAAAACATTACATAGGATTTGCTGTTGAAGTAAGTTAGAATTTAAATTGAATTAGTTTTAAATTAGAATTAGCAAACACAAACTAAATATGGAAGAAATCATTTTAATGATTGCCCAAACAAAATGGTGATACACATTACTCCAAGTGAGGAGGGAGAAATTACTTCACCTTGCCCTTATATTTGTAAAACTTTGAAAAATGAGTTTTTGAGGGGATGAGGTTGGAGAATGATAATTACAAAGAATGAGATTATTCAGAAAGAAATAGTAAAACTGCACTGACAAAATGAGATGAACATACATTTGAACTTTTTAAAGTTTTAGCAGTTTACATTGATCTTTAATTCAGTGCTAGTGAATGGTAGGCTTTTGAGATTCTTTCAAACATTTTAAAGAGATAGTAAGATATAACTTAAACATTAGAGATTTGTCTTTTTATTTTCACTTGAAGAGTAGACAATTAGAGCTACTATATAGGTCTAATGGTCCCTTGACTCAGTTTACAGATAAGGAATCTGAAATCAGCAGAAGTAGCTTGCCAGGTCACACAACTAGACAGTACCCAGTGAGAACCAGCCTTGTCCTAGCTTCCAGGCCATAATGCTTCCCTCTGCCGTGTGCTCCCACATGCCAAAAGCCCCAAAACATGGATATTTCTTTTTCTGCAGTTTCACTCTAAATCCAAAAGTTTGGTGTATAAATTTAGTTAAACTTAAAAGATTATTCCAAAATGTTCTTACATATTTTAAAAAATCAAGTTACCTTGAAAACATGTTTTGCTTGGAGGCCAGAGTCATTTTGCTTAATGATTCTGTGATTCTGAAATGAGACACCTTGCTGGGTTTTATTAAATAGAAGCTTTGTATTATTGCCTGTTCCTTGTGAAAATCACACAGCTAAACAAGCATTCATGGGGGAGGACGTTTGCCTGGTATTAACATCAAGAACAAAGTGTCTTGAAAACACTGACTTTTTAAGAATTATTGGGAGATTTTTTGAAGTAATTCATAGGAGTCTAAGAAGAGCTACTAAATGTTAACTATCTTAAAAATTGATATCATATTAGAAATCTTAAAATTTACAGAAGTTAATGAAAACAGGAAATCATGTTTTTAAGGATTAATGCTTTTAGGCATTCCACTCATTGGCTAATTTAGAGGACCAGTTCTGTTATGCATATGCACACATATGTTGATTAGGGTATGTATTGCATGAGTGAGAAAAATGACGTGGAATGACCCTCCATGGCAAATATGCACAGTGACCTTCCTTACTGTTGGGCTACACAAACATTATAGAATATTATATGTTTTAAAATTGGGTTTATTTTATATTATATGTGGTTTCTGTTAAACTAGACTGAAGATAACTTCAAAATGGATGCTTGGGTCATATCATTTAATTATTTTGGATGTAGCTTTTTTTACTTGGTGTATTATCCAGAGGCATTTCTCCTTTAAACTGAAAATCTAAATTATTATGTGAGATGTCTTTATTTAAAAAATAAAATAAAATGGAGAAGGACCAAATAAATATGAAGACCATGAACTAGAAGTCAAGAACCAGAAAAAAGTAGAAATGTTTTAATTTTTCTAGAGAGGAGCATCAACAGGGCTGAAACTCAATAAAATTAACTAACTGTTCAGGCTTATGTATATGCATGGAAAATGATTAATTGCCCCCCCCGCGCCTTTTTTTTTTTTAAACTTATTGAGGTAACACTGTAGGTGTATTTTTTTTTCCGTAAAAAGTTTTAAGCTAATGAGCACTTCTCAGCTCACTCTAAAGTATTCCAAATATATCAGTTAGCTTTCAGTTAATGGACTAAATGCAAAGTTATGTTGTCATTCATAGCATGTCATTGGATGTAGCATACGACAGTTTTGCTTTTTCTTTTTAGCATATCGGTATGATAATCAGATAGTAAAAGGTAGCTAGTGTAGACTTCTGGTGCATGATATGATTTCTCACTGCTTTAAGAAAAAGTAAGTGTTATAGCTGACTTTCTGGTTCTGTGTCCTCTGGAATTGCTTAATGAAGCAAGAGGAGGCCCTGACATTTTCATGGATAACCTTGGAAAGGAAATCCGTGTGACCTTTTATAAAATGTTTATACACACACAATCTGGCAAAATAAGATGGTTCAGGTGAGTCATGAACGGAAGTGCTTGAATTAAAACAGTGTGACGGGGAGGCTTTGTAAGACACCCGCTCAGTAAATTTCAGCTTTGGTGTCATTTTTCAGTACCACAGACAGCTCAGTGCACCAGGCAACATTTTGTTCACTTTACTAATTACTTTTACACCTCACTACCAAAAATGAAATCACATTTTAGATCGTAATATTTATATAACATCAGATTTAATATGAGTAATTTTTAGCTAAGGTGATATTAGACTTTTTCAGGTGATGTTGAACTTGTTTTCTGTATCTATCAGTATAGCTAAAAAATAAATGAATGAACACCTAAGTAAACTTTAATAAATGCCTGTGTATCATGGCCTTCTGACAAAGGAAAACATGGTAGGGATTATTTTTATACAGTTTGGAAAGGTCCCTTGACACTACGTAAGTAGCCTCCCTAACTCAGGTCTCAAGGTCAAATTATAAGAAAAACAGAAACATGCTTTTCAGCGACTTTTTTTAAACCCCGCTCCGCAGCGGGGTTGGAGATACATCTCTGATGGAATTAGTACAAAACGAAATTCAACTATTCTTTAAGCTCTTCAACATCAGATATTTTCAGTGTAGCTTCCACTTTATCATTTCTGCTTTGGTATACTATTATGTTTCTTATAGAGGTAATTTTAGATGAAAGAGATATTTAATAGTTTGAGGTAGGCAAATGTAAGATTCTAAGCTGAGACAGACAACCCCTTGGACTAGTGCCTGATCTTTCTGGTTCTCGTGGGATTTGGAAGAATGGCAGATGATATACTTTGAATTGGAAAACATTTTCATTTGTTTGTTTTTGTAATATACAGCTGACTTTTGAAAAACATGGTGAACTGTGTGGATCCACTTATATGCAGATTTTTTTTTTCAGTAGATGTAGTGGGCCCTCCCTATCCATGGGTTCTGCATCAGCAAAAATACAGTATTCACTGGCTGTGAAACCCTCATACAGAGGGTTGACTTTTCATTTATGTGGGTTGCAAAGTACTGAAAGTATACATGGATTCTGGTGTCTGTGGGGCTCCTGGAACCAATCCCCTGTGGTTACCAAGGGACAAGTGTAATTATATAATAAATAGCGTTAGAGAAAGCACTGACTTTTCTTTGTTATGTTTTGCAATGGAGTAACTCTTCATCATCTTTCAAGTTAGCTTTTCAGAGATGGACTCTATAACTCTGTAATTGGAAGAACAAAAATGAAAATTTCTCTTCATTTCTCCACCAATGCCACAGAAAAGAGGAGAGAGTGAGTGAAGGTGGGGGCCTCACCTGGACTGGTTGGGGAGGGGTGGTCCCTGTTCACTAGTAGGCTCTGTGGTTTACTATGTGAAGGCTCAAGTCTGAAGAAGAAGGAAAGAATGCTCCCCTTTCTACTTCTATAGAGAGCAAACAGATGTCTGTAGACATTGCAGAAAATACTGCATATGGTTACTATTTTTATTAATAAAATAACCTATACACATAATAAAAGTAATTCAAACAGTACAACAGACTTTAGAATAAAAAGTGAAAGTCATATTCTCTCAGTCATGTTTCTTAGAGGTAACCACTTTTAAGTTTTTTTAATATATATATATACCTTCAGGATTTCTGTAAGGAATATTTAGGTATACACCCATGCCTTTCTTATATTCTGTAATATATCCTGGATGTTTATCTTCAGCAGCAGTAGGGACCTAGTTCATTTTTTTTTTTAGCGGGTATGTAAGATCCTATTCTATGGATGTAGTATGGTTTACCTCACCTGGCCTGATCTGAGAGCTGATAGGCAATTTGGAGTTTTCTAAGTTTTTGCTATTACAAGTAATATTAAAATGAACATTCTTTTTTATTTATTTTAGT